GACCATCAAGATGCTTTCACACCAAAGGACGCATATTTATACATATACCAACCCCTCTTAAATGCTTAGAATAATTACAAAAGAAGAAATAAAAAACAATTAAAAAGTACAAAAACAAATGAACGAATCAGTTAATGAATGGGAAACATCTGAGATTTTTGTGTTCTTTTAACAAAGAAAGCATGACATGATTGGATCACATGATCAGGTATTGTGACGTTATTACTGGCTATTATAAGTGTCTTCACAAACACATGACGTAGTGGTGACGTTCTTGACTTATGGTAGCACTACAAACCTCATGTTTTAATGACATTCATTATACTATATTACTAAAATTATATTTCGGATTGCATACAACCTGTTATGTTTAGTTTCACAACACCAGAACGCAAGAGGCATAGGAAATAATGTAAAATGAACCTGAATCATTGTTAGGTACAGCTCCGAAAATATACGAAAACAATAATCAGTGAGATAGCACTCACAAATCGGCATCTGATCAGATCAGCGCTATCGCAAGGAGCCATATACACCACTATCCCCTACCTCCCGCACAAATCAGTATGCATTACACACAATAGTTTGTAAATTACCTAAGCTGTTAATAGGGCGTTTAACCTACTGAAGCCTAACCAAACTTGGAAATTATATTCATTTTCTGCATACATGTATGCTAACCTCTACAAGAGATCAACTTTTAAAATCAGTCGTTTGCTGAGGCTATGGTATATATTTTCTGTTCCTTTGAGCATAATCTCAACACGAGGGCAGGATCATATGTCAGATTTCTTCACAACATCTTGTTTCTATCTTATACTTGGGCTAGGAGTTGTTTAATATTTAGGCATTTAACCTTACCACCGCTCTTTCGAGTTGCTACCGAACCCTGACTAAGATGTAAACAATTTATTTTCTGTACGAACGGGCAGTCCTAGCAGACATGATAACTATTCTTATAACAGACGTGTGTTGTCGAAATCTCAAATGAACAAACCAACATTGACAATACAAAACGAAATTCTTATAAAACAAAATCGTATCACAGTTTTTACGACAACACAATCTACTCCTAATATATGAAACTTGAATAAATCATAAACCTTATTGAGTTTCCCATGTGTTTTCGAAATCTACAATGAAGAAACCAACATCAACAAAAACAATTAAAATTCATATAAAACAAATTTGTATCAGTTTTCATGACAACACAATCTACTCCTAATATGTGAAACTTTGATAAATCATAAATCTTATTGTTTGTCCCTGTATCACAATTAGCTCTAGTATCAGTATTTACAACCCCAAAATAAAACCCAACACCAACCATTTAGGTTTATCATGTCAATATTACACCCTATCAACAACCGTTCAGGTTTATCACGTAAAAATTGCATATCTTTATTGGTTTCAGAACTCGAATATCAGTTTAAAATGCAATATTATGCATCAGCATGTAAATCAAGTGTTCCAAGTTACTTCAAAAATGGAAATATCGTTTTGATAACTATGAAAACGAGATACCATGTAAAACTTGTCATAAAGTATGAAGATAGTTTTAAGTATGTTGCTGATAGTGCACACAAAATAATAAAAAAAACTATGTAAAAAGCACTAGACTAATAAACATGAAATATTTAAAAAACCATGTACAATAAAAGGAGTAAATATGTGCACTTCATTATTTTCTACCTTTCCCCCCGAAAAGTACACATACTTTTATATTCGCAAAACTTTAAAAGCGGTTTGTGAATACTACAGAATAGCTCTCGCTTTCCTACTCACATGAATCCGCTTAATGGTTTTCCTAATCACTCTAAGGGGCCCGTACAATGCCGGAGCTTTCTGCTAAAACATAAAAGTACACACTGTTCTTTTTTCTTGATATTGAAAATGAAATAATATTTTATGGATATATTTTGCTACTAGGGTAAATATTTCATAATAAAAGCCTCCAGCATTATCTTAATAGAGAGCCGAGTACTAAAACTTTCGCAGCTTTAAGCTTAAAAGTACTAGAACAAACGTATCTCTTTAGTGAAGGTATATTCTATTCATATTTCTTTCTCCAAATTAAAACATATTCAGTAATGATCGTTTATATAATCACCAATTTCGTTTATTAATGCAAGACATGTAAGACATTGTTTATAAATATTAAAAAACATATTTCAAGGTTAAAATCCCAATCAAAGCATGTGGTTCTTTTAAAACGATAAAGCTTTATAACAAGACTTTTTTCTCTCACTGTAATGTATATCAGTTCCAACTTATAGTCATTTGTAGCAAAATGAAACGTTAAAGTTTGAATACAAACATATATGGCTACCATGATTGATCTGTATCAGAAGAACTGGTCTCTATTTCCATTACGCTTTGACAGGTTTTATGTTATTCACTATATTTTATACATATATTTGTTAGTACTCTCGACTTAACTAGTATCTCAACAAATTGACAACCCATATGTGAATTGTATGATGCAGATTTATATGAGCTTTCATTTCCAATAAAGTTTTGATAGGTTTTAATGATATATGATATTAAAAGTCATAATGTTTATTCACTATATTTTATAAACAGGTTCGTTAATGCCATACCATCAGCCTTACAAATTAAGCATACATAATGTAGATTAATATGCGTTATACATTTATATATTTTTATGAAATTTTAGGCCAATATTATACCTTTTCCGTGTAGAATATTAGAGTGTGTGTTTTAATTATCTATGACTGTATCAAACGATTGCATGTTATATAATTTAATAATATATTAACAGGTTTCAGATTTGAAATTAAACTTTCCCTAGTCCAAAATTATGAAACAATATTATCAGTAGAACTTATAAACGGTACCTGTTACTACACAGATCTGTCCTATCCATTGTTAGCACCGATATACATAACTAAGCTGTCACCCTTAAGTTGTGATAATGATCAAACTCAGCTGTAAACATACAGTACTGATAGAGCATGTGCTATGCAAAAGTGGAAACAAAAGCGTCATTTGAACTAAAAGTTGATAAAGCTTAGACAGAATATGAAGAATAGAGAAAACTATGTTTATAGAGACAATTATAATAAAACAGTGATAAGACCTGAGCCCGTATTCATGAAACGAATCCCATGCTCAGACTCTGTGCTCAAGCCCAATTTCTTGTTCCAGTGATAACAAATTAAGAAATCATTATGATATGTTGTCCGTGATGGAAGAATATTTGAGAAACCTCGAGCAGAAAGCTAGTGTAAATGATTGCATTAGACAGTTTTGCCGTGTCACATAATTTAAACGAGTTACAGGCAAACTGAAACTGGTTTCATGAGTACGTGCCCAGGTGTTCCGAACATGTAAGTGTCAATTAACAATTGTTTATCCTTTTTATATTGTCAGATATTTTGTTACATGTATAATAATATAATTCTCCAAAAGGATGCATTGTAATTGTTTTCTCATCGTGTTAAGAAATTTATATATACAATGTTTACTGTCTGTTACTAGTCTGTATCACGGAACAGTATTTTACAGTGTACATTTTGAATCCCATATGTGGGTGTATCTTCATGTTTTAATATATAAACCTATACATGGGCCCAGTTTAAAAGTATGATTTAGTATAAATCCTTAGTTCAACTTATTTATTTTCTAACAAATGAAATTGGTATCTAAAATTATAAAACAGAATTGTGATGGGCACATTTGCAATCTAAACTTATTTTTTTTTGCCTTTGAACAAGTTAGTATAGGATATTTGACTATAGAGGGATAATGCATAATAACATAATTTGCAACGTATATGTGTGTTATACTAAGACTGTTCTCACCAACCAAAATCTACATATCAACTAGCATACTTTAATTTCTACAGTAGACTTGACATCTGACTACAATAGGGTGATACACTGTTACATTGTACTGATAATCAAGATGTTTAATACAGGATGTTTCAGACTCAACTCCCCTATCAGACCCGACGATCAACCACGTGACACATCACATGATTGAGTGCTATGTCTATATATCTCTACCTCCTGTTAATTAAATATCTCCGTAATATATACAAATCTATAAACCCTTCATTCTATTTGCACGTGTAGTGCGTAATAATCTCGTAGATGTAGGATATTTAAATAACCCATCGTAATTGAATATCACAACTTTGACCACCATTTATATGCAAGTATTTAATTTCTATTCATAACCAACTGAATCCAATGGAATATCAATGATCCTGTTCATTATGACTGCCCATGGCTACCCCTGGCATTGGTACTGTAAATCTATCATTATAGCATGTGACGAAAGGATTATCCCTAAACAAAATCAACACTCCATCTCTCTACTGAATCAATAGGTGACCTATATCGTCATGAATCTACACCGTCGCTCGACACATGGCAATGTCGGGGTCCGTCGCCATATTTAAAACGAAGAACAGCCATAATCATGTATCGACGTTACTGTTCCCTTCGGACGAGAACGACAGTCTAACGATTTATTAGACAGCCATAAAGCAATGATCGCAGATTTGTGTGAAAATAAAAATATGTAGACAGTGTGCATATACATTAGATGTAAAGATGTTTTTCATATATAGGATTGCCAACAGCTTCTCCCAATCCTGATCCGATGAAAAATCGATCAATACAGTGAAAAGAACTATTTCATCAGGCATTCACGAAAAATGGTTAATACATTTTGATAATATAGAGTAAGCAGTGATTTCGTAACATGTATACATATGTTTGCATATTTACGCAATCCATATGGTAGAAACCGGATGTCAATTGACCTTTCAGCTCTAGAGAAGCATGAGGGTATACCACAAGACAACCACCCAGACAACGTAATTACAGGTTCATGACACAAGAGATAAAAACCTACCTGTGGGACATGGTTACTATCGATTCTGTATCCCCCTCATGGCTGGCTCCGGCAGCTGACAAGGGGCAGAAGGGCTAACAATCATAATGACGATATCCCTAATAATATGTACTTACAGACCGTGGTGGTGCTGGAAACTGTGAAGCATTGTTACTCGGTTAGAACCAAGTCATCGGGAAGCATGTCCGGAGATAGCCAGCTGGTTCAATATTAGGTAAGCCTGAATAGGTCGGTTCACCGTTAATAGAAAACAAACCCGGCAGATGAATATAGCATTGTTTGTTGTCACAAAGCTGGCAGTTCCCGCCTGATGAGACGCACGCTACACAACCACGCGGCGCGACACTGCCTTGAATCCAGGGGGCGACAACGAAGACAACGTAACACACGGCAAGTCAGGAGACTCAATGTTCTGGATACTTGACGTATCAAGTCTAATGTCTTATGGAAAACGAGTCGGTGAGAATGACGGCTAAGCAGGATTTAACCAGGGATGATCAGCCCGACATAGGCAAAGCAATTGCTAGTTGTATGTCTCTGAGGGAAAATCAATCCTGTCCTGTATAGCACCTGTGCCTTGTCTCTCCTCTCAGCAATCACCCAGCTATCGCCACGCACAGCTCTGATTGGAACCCGGCAATTAACGGACATAGAAACACCAGAACAACGTTGTCACACGAGAAAAAAATGGCGAGCTGTATTCACAAGCGCGCGTGGACTTTCCCGCCTAGCATCTGTTGTTGGTCAGGAGAAGGTGATAATACTACGGTCACTGGTGTGGCCAACATGTTTTTAGGCCATGACGTCATTTTGTGAGATCGATGACCACTAGAGTGTCACTAGGCATAGGAACTCGGAGGACATTGTCATGTTTTGGTGGCAATAAAAAAACAGAATCACATCGTAACGATATTGATCCGGATGTGGCTTAAAATGAAAGACCGGAAATAACAACAGATTTTTTGTTCGTTTCCAGTTATATTATCACACACAGTATTGTTATCAATGAACCTGTTACTACCCGAGTAACAGGATACAGACCACGTGATCTAAAACCTGACAATTGTATCAGGTTTCCAAATACGTCAAGTTTCCAGTTTTAGATGTTTTACATTTGTCAACAAATATGTTGCCTGTTGATGTGTCCAATGTTTCACATACTGTGTACAGTAACACAACGCCCCATAAAAAAGGCTGTCAAACAATAAAAACGTCAATATGAGCCTGGTCTGTCAGAAGCGATCAAGGAGACAAATCACTGACCACTTCTTCGGTATCAGTATATAGACCTCGGGGGATCGCTCTACACTTGTATTATACAAATATCCCGAACACCAAGTCCTTGTCCTGTATCTTTGCCTGCCTCCCTAGGGACCTGTACAGACGTGTGCTATTCAGAACCAGCGTCAGACCGGTAATGTGGACAACTGTACAAACATACCCCGGAGAGCCAGCACGTTATCTCAATTGACTGGTGTAAACCATTTTCCCCGAAAACGTTCATTCTGTAGAGACTGATTTAAGTAGTATAATTCTCTTGTGTAAATGTATATGTTTGTCCACTTAACAGTAACCACAAAACACATACCTTAACAGATTGATACATTAATGGATGTTTTTTGTCTATAACTTTAGAGAAAAAGACCCTGGAATTATTCAATTAATCACGTCATGGCGCTGTCATTACTTAGGTATTTTACCTCCATTGAAACTTTCGACCCAAATAGGGTTTCTATTGTCGTGACATCATTAGGAAAACATTATTACGTCTTGCTTGAATTTTCTACTTAAGTAGAATGCAGAAAATGTGCATTAAATGTCCGATGGCGTTAGCTCCGGGAATAGATGGTTAAGGAGCCATCCGATATTGGTTAGGTATCGGCCGTGGAAGCAATCCGTCACAGCCTCCGACCAAGTCGACAATCAATGTCTACGGGGAAAAAAGCTAATATTACTAGAATGATTGTTCTGGAAATGTCAAGAAATCTTCCAATTTCTTGATAAAAATGTCATTTCACTACATTGAATGAGCGGATGTGAAGCGTCAGTATATCCAATTTATCGTTAAAGAACGCAGCCCAGCGTACTCATCAGGGTCGGCAGATAGGCAAACCTTTTAGCTAACTCGGGTTGAATAAAGAATGCTCATGCTGGTGTGGTCAAATGAAATCTCGTTTATTAACGTCATTCACGTGATTGCGTTTTGGCACGCGCTATGGAACAGCCACACGTACAAATCTAAACATATCTAGTAATTCTCTCAACTCTAAGGGCTTGACTCGGTATTAGTGGAGCAGGCAAAACCAGACTCGCTAAATGCAATGAAAATTCCACTCAACATATGCTCCATAACACTAGCACTCTGTTATGATTTCTTCAATGGTTGCCATCTTGACCAGATCCGGCGTTATCGACCAGGTCGGATACGTAAACAAAATTACATTTACGTTGGGGCACAAGGGGTGAAGGTTTGTGAGGGTAGGGCCCAACAAAGGATAACGTTCTGGTGGAAGAGGATCCAAAAGGGGCGAAAATTATGAAAATAATGGCTCCAAAAACATGTTGTTAATATGCTATTTAACATATGTACGTCACGTTATGTCATCGTACCAAACAGATGTATTGTTTCGTTTTTTCCGTTTCAAGTGAACGTTTTGCATACGATGACTGCAATGCTGAAAGAACAAGACAATACTATGTATGAAGTATTTCGAAGGTATGTCCGAGCCGGATGGCACGTAATTTACCTAAGGGTACAGGGAGAACACAGGTAGTGTTTTTTCTTATTGACCACAGTATTTACATATTGAACACGGTATATACATATTGAACACGGTATATACATAGTAACCACGGTATATACATAGTGAACATGGTGTATACATAGTAACCACGGTATATACATAGTAACCACGATATATACATAGTAAACATGGAATATACAAAGTGAACACGGTATATACATAGTAACCACGGTATATACATAGTAAACACGGTATATACATAGTAACCACGGTATATACATAGAAAACACTGTAAATATATAGTCAAGACGTTATAAACATAGTAACCACGGTTTATACATAGAGAACACGGTATATACATAGTGAACATGGTATATACATAGAGAACACGGTATATACATAGTGAACATGGTATATACATAGTGAACACGGTATATACATAGGTAACACGGCATATACATAGTGAAAACTGTAAATACATAGTAACGACGGTATATACATTTTGAACACGGTATATAGTTAGTGAACACGGTGTATATGTAGTGAACACGGTATATACATAGTGACCATGGAATATTCATTTTGAACACGGTATATACGTAGTTAACACGGTATATACGTAGTGAACACGGTATATACGTAGTGAACACGGTATATACGTAAGTAACACGGTATATACATAGAAAACACTGTAAATACATAGTCAATACGGTATATACATAGTGAACAAGGTATATACATAGCAACCACGGTATATACATAGTAACAACGGTATATACATAGTAAACATGGAATATACAAAGTGAACATGGTATATACAAATTGAACACGGTATATACATATTGAACATGGTATATACATAGTGAACACGGTAAATACATAGTGAACATGGTAAATACATAGTAACCACAGTATATACATATTGAACACGGTATATACATAGTAACCACGGTATATACATATCGAACACGGTATATACATAGTGAAGTTGGTATATACATATTGAACACGGTATATACATAGTGAACACGGTATATACGTAGTGAACACGGTAAATACATAGTGAATACGGTATATATATATTAAATACGGTATATACATAATGAACACGGTATTTACGTAGTGAACACGGTATATACATAGTGAACACGGTATTTACGTAGTGAACACGGTACATACATAGTGAACACGGTATATACAAAGTGAACATGGTATATACATAGTGAAGTTGGTATATACATATTGAACACGGCATATACATAGTGAACACGGTATATACTTAATAAACACGGTAAATTCATAGTGAATACGGTATATATATATTAAATGCGGTATATACATAATGAACACGGTATTTACATAGTGAACACGGTATATACATAGAAAACACTGTAAATACATAGTAAATACGGTATATACAAAGTGAACAAGGAATATACATAGCAACCACGGTATATACATAAACACGTTATATACATAGCAACCACGGTATATACATAAACACGTTATATACATAGTAACCACGGTATATACATAGTAACCACGGTATATACATAGATAACACTGTATATACATAGTAACCACGGTATATACATAGTAACCACGGTATATACATAGTGAACACGGTATATACGTAGTGAACACGGAAAATACATAGTGAATACGGTATATACATATTAAATACGGTATATACATAGTGAACACGGTATTTACGTAGTGAACACGGTATATACATAGTGAACATGGTATATACATTTTGCACACGGTATATACGAAGTGAACACGGTAAATACATAGTGAACACGGTATATACATATATAATACGGTATATACGTAGTGAACACGGTATATACATAGTGAACACGGCATATACATTGTGAACACGGTAAATACATAGTGAACACGGTATATACATAGAAAACACTGTAAATACATAGGTTACACAGGGTATATACATAGCAACCACGGTATATACATAAACACGGTATATTCATAGTAACCACGGTATATACATAGATAACACTGTATATACATAGGTAACACGGTATATACAAAGTGAACACGGTATATACATAGTGAAGTTGGTATATACATATTGAACACGGTATATACATAGTGAACACGGTATATACGTAGTGAACACGGTAAATACATAGTGAATACGGTATATACATATTAAACACGGTATATACATAGTGAACACGGTATATACCATGTTCACTATGTATATACCGTGTTCTCTATGTATATACCATTTTCACTATGTATATTCCGTGTTCAATATGTATATACTGTGGTTACTATGTATTTACCGTGTTATCGTGTTTACTACGTATATATCGTGTTCAGTATTTATATGCCGTGCTCACTCCGTATATACCGTGTTCACAATGTATATGCCGTGTTCACTATGTATCTGGTACATTGTAACTGTATATACAGTTACAATGTACCAGAAGTAAGCACGTGTAGATACAGTTACAATGTACCAGATACATAGTGAACACGGAATATACATATTGAATATGGTATATACATAGTGAACACGGTATATACGTAGTGAGCACGGTATATAAATACTGAACACGGTATATACGTAGTAAACACGATATATACATAGCAACCACGGTGTATACATAGCAACCATGGTATATACATAGTAACCACGGTATATACATAGTAA